ATGGTAAATATCTGAATATTTAACAGATATCTGAAGTTATCATCCTGCAGGTCTCAGTTTATCCAGGTAGATTTTCATCATGTTGCTGTAAGTCACTATATTCTGAATCTAACTTCTCATTTTCAAATCATCTGTCAGAAACCACGCCTTCTCTATGAAGCTGTTTATGTGTTGATTAAAACATATAATTACTTCCTCACCAGTAGCATTCTAACAGGTACATTTTATTTGTTTTTTATATTTTTAAAAAGTTTGTACCGTTGTCTAACTAGTGTCTTTTCTGCTAACACAGGGCTAAATACGTAGTAGGTCCACCATAAATGCCTGTTGATTTGTTAATCACTTTGGGAGTGAATATCAGAGGAGACCGTGGCTTTCGGATAATAACTCCATTAGTTTAGTTTTAATTGCTTCATTCTGAACATTAGGCTGGTGGTAGTTTTGCTTGGGAAGATTGTGGCCAACCTGCACGACTCGTTCTGAAGATAAGCTTACTGCTAGTATTTCTTTACCCCTGGGAAATAAACATATGTAATATTGCCATTATTCTTAATTTAAAGCCCTATATTGTATGTTTAGCTTGTTTCTGGCCTTTTGAGGGTGAGGGGCTGGACTTGGAAGATTATTGGGGGGAAATGTCACACCATGTCCCTATTGTATGTAGGAGGGTGCAAGGCTCACACCCCCTGGTGAGCAGCCGTGTAGGGGGCATCCACTTGAAGACAGAGAACCAGAAGATGCAAGGCTTGGTGTAAGCAGATGGAGTCAAGCCAGCAAGCAGATCCCAGCTGGGAATCTTCCTAGTCCCCTGGGCCTTCTCCTTCCATCACTGCCCAGGCTGCAGTTTCACTGAGGCTGGTCTCCTTGCTGTTTCCTTTCCTCACTGAAATCTGCCATTGTGTAAATTCACCATTATTGATGACACCTCTTTCACCTCTCCCCACCTCCTCCACTTTGGTGACTCCAGAACATGTTCATTTCTCTCTCCTACAGTGCCGGTCACATTCCCCTGGCCACCCTGCACAAACCCTTCTTAGATGCACAACCTTCACTGTTGCTTCATAGATGCGTGGATTTGATCTCTGGCTTTGCCAGGAACTAGCTAAGTGACCTCAAGCAAGTTATGTTGGTGATCAACAAGGACCTCAGTTTTCTCGCCAGGGAATTGATCTACAATGACACTTGGCACTTTGGAATGTGCATCCTATACGAGAGCGTGCACTGTGATGACGCTTTGTAGAATAAACAATCATTTCCCACCTTCAGCCACTGACTGCTGCAGAGGTGGTTGTTTGGCCTGATTCATGTCTGCTGCTACTTCTTCTTTTGGCTAACTTTCCACCTTTATTTTTCAGGGCTGGGAGAGGGTTCTGCCCTCCTTCATCCAGACAGCAGGTCCCATCCTAGGTCCTTAGAGAAAAGTGCCTGGAGGGCTTTCAAGGAGTCACAGTGCCATCACATGCTCAAACATCTCCACAATGGCGCAAGGATCACCGTGCAGATGCCACCTACAATCGAGGGCCACTGGGTCTCCACAGGGTAAGAGGACAGGTGGGGTCTGGGAGAGGCCAGAGAGCACACCACTATGGAAGACCCTTCTTATGGGTTCTCAGATGCATAGAGACTTTATCACTTACAATGATTTAGGTGTGGTCCAAGTTCTAATGAAGAACCAAACTACTCTTTGAAATTATGGTTGGTTAAGAAAAAGAGCTAAGTACTGTAGAAATCTTATGCTAAAGCAGAGATTATATTGTACTCCTGTTAACCACACAGTGTGAGTGAATAGATCCTTGTTTACTGAACTCTATGGGACTACTTGTGTATAAAAAGAAACCATTAGCAAGTGAAATTAACAGTCTGTGTTTCACCAACCCTGAAACATGACTTGCAAGCTCCGGATGGTGTAAATATTCTAGCCATATTCTGGTAATTTAATATATGGCTCCGGGGTTCTAAGAGTAAGTTAAAAGCTACCTCTGCTAGCCAGGGTGCACTTCTTGGATTCTTTTCCATGCTATGAAGCTGAGATTTATCCCAGTTTGAGCTCTGGCTTATCTTCCATTAGAGCTTTTAAAAATAGCCTAGAGGCAGATCTGCGATTTTTTTTTTCTACCCATTAAATTGCTGAGAATTAACAAGACTAACTCTGGGATCTGATCACTTCTCCCTATGCGCTGTTCCTGGGATATGGATAGCAGCCTCCAAGTTCCTTGGGGAGGGATCAGATGAATACGGAGAAGAGAAAGAAAGAAATTGTATAAGATGATGAAGATGCAGAATTTTATTTCATAAAAATGAGGTCTCTCAAAATAACCACAATAAACAATTTGCATAAACAACCTTCATGTTACATACTTTTAAAATATTTATCATTTTATTCAACAAATATTTATTGAGTGCCTACCATATGCCAAACACTATTTTAAGTTTTGTTTATATAGCAGTGAACAAAACAGACCTGGTCCCTATCATCAGGGGTTTTATAAGTAAATACACGAGAAGTACTATGAAAGTGGAGGGGTGGGGAAGGCAACAGGTGCTAAAAGAGAATACCGGGGGACCCATTTTAAAATCGGGGTGGAGTTCAGAAAGCCTACCAAGGAAGGGGACCCTTGAACTGAGACATTGTTGGCTGTGCACAGACTGTGGGAAGAGCTTTGTATTTAAAGAACCAGAGGCCAGGCTAGATGCAGAGTGAGCAAGAGGCTGGCTAGACTGAAGGAGCAGCCGGCTGAGAGCCCTGTGGCTGGGATGCAGTAAACCAGGGCAGATAGCCTCAGATGAGGCTGTTGGGGAGGGTAGGCCAGCTCTAAGGCATCCTGCAGACCAGCTTTTCTAACCTAAGAGAACTGAAAAGTCATTGACGAGCTTACAGCAGGGGCCATGCTTAAAACATGATTCAACTTTTTGAAAGGGCATTCTGGCTGCTGTTTGGCAAATGGATGGGAGAAAAAGTGATTTGGGGGTGACCAGTTTAAACTTTGCAACCGTTCTGGTTAGAGAGGACGGAGGCTTAGGTAAGAGGAGCTGCAGGGGCAATTGAGAAGTGAGTGGGCCTGAGATCCACTGTACGTGGCAGGCAGAATCAACAGACTGTTGATGCTTAGATTAAAAAATTTAAACATAAGGGATCTTCTTTTCTAAACCTACTCTAACATGAATCACTGCTTACACTAAACTTCTCTTTCCCTGTGGGAGAAATCTGGGGTGTTTTCCGTCTCCTTTTTCTAAGATTACAGATACCCCAGGTACCGCTGAGTGCTTTATGTCCATAGGATGCTACTCGACAGCAGGTGTCAAACTTTGCGTAGCAACGGTACCCCCTTCTAAATAATGCTTATCTTTCACCAGTCCATCAACGAACAAATTAAAGTGTTCACAATCTTGAAAACCACTTGTGTTTGGCATTTTAGCCTGACTGCTTGATTTAGCAACGCTTCGTCAGTTCAAACCAGAACCTGTGTTAGCATCACAGATGAGAGCAGACTGGGAAGGCCAGAACTGATGAGCTGAAAGTCACGGCGTAACTGAGACCAGGAGCTAACAAAAGGCTAAGGCCAGGTTATTTGGCCAGGGCTTTAAGTACCTCCCCGTGCCCCCCGCTGCAGCCTCAGCTAGTATATATGAATGGCTGACAGAGCCGTGTGTGAAATCCCTCAATTCCATCCCACTGCTGTTACGCTCTGTAGATTCTGCCTTAGTGTTTCTGGCTCAGGAACCTAGCATTCATCTAATGCCACATTGGCAACCATCACAAACTCAAAGGAACCCTTACTTCTGTTGTGCCAGCTTTGCTTTTAGTTAATTGCCCCTTTACTTTTCTACTAGAGAGAAAATTAATTTTGAATGGACAAGAAGACGCCAGGTGACTAGTTTCTGTCTCGGGATGACAGACATTTTGCACCTGCCTACTGTAGACAAGGTCCATAAAATAAAAGTGCTCAGGGAGTCGACCGTTTTTGAACTAGCATAAGGAAACTTCTTTCATAGGCCAGCACAGCACTCGTCCTCCTTATCCAGAAGGAAATGCCCGCATAGGGCAGCAGGTATTTGCCCTCCTGGCCTGCTCGTGAAGCTGGTGGAAGGCTGGCTGAGGCAGTGATTAGGAGCACAGCGTCAGAGCCAGGCTGCCTGGATTCATGGACTGGCTCTGACACTTGCTGGTCATGTGCTCTTGGGCATGTTCCCTAACCTCAGTTTCCCCACCTGTAAAATGTGGGTGATAATACTAGCTCCTAGGTTGTTGTGAGGAGTCCATGAGTTGGTATCTGTAAAGGGCTGACAACAGTGTCTGGCCCATCAGCAGCAGCTTATTATTATTTCTGTAATTTCTTCATACCATAACGAATCTCTTTCCCATACCTTTGGGCTTACAAAGGTCTCTTCTTCCCCTTTCCTTTCCCAGCTGTGAAGTAAGGTCAGGCCCAGAGTTCATCACAAGGTCCTACAGATTCTACCACAATAACACCTTCAAGGCCTACCAGTTTTATTATGGCAGCAACCGGTGCACAAATCCCACTTATACTCTCATTATCCGGGGCAAGATCCGCCTCCGCCAGGCCTCCTGGATCATCCGAGGGGGCACGGAAGCCGACTACCAGCTGCACAACGTCCAGGTGATCTGCCACACAGAGGCGGTGGCCGAGAAGCTCGGCCAGCAGGTGAACCGCACGTGCCCGGGGTTCCTCGCAGACGGGGGTCCCTGGGTGCAGGACGTGGCCTATGACCTCTGGCGAGAGGAGAATGGCTGTGAGTGCACCAAGGCCGTGAACTTTGCCATGCATGAGCTCCAGCTCATCCGGGTGGAGAAGCAGTACCTTCACCACAACCTCGACCACCTGGTCGAGGAGCTCTTCCTTGGTGACATTCACACCGATGCCACCCAGAGGATGTTCTACCGGCCGTCCAGTTACCAGCCCCCTCTGCAGAATGCCAAGGTACCTCAGAGCTCTGTGCTCTCCTCTTTATTGAATAAAGTGGGTCATCCTTCTTAAAGGCTTGCCATGGGGGCTTCAGGGCACCCTTGAAAGGGGGAATTCTGCTTCCTGGCGGGGCAGGCCAAGGTGGGGCTACGGCGAGGTGGGAGGAGACGGGGAAGGCTGGGGCTGGGGGGCACTGTAGCCAGTTAGGAGACCTGGGTCTGCCACCAACTTGCCCTGTGACTTGGAACCTCGGTTCTCTTCTGAAGTGGGTGGTGGTGTGGGATGATGGTTCTAGAAAATTCCTAAGGCTCCTTTCAGTTCTCCCATCCCAGAAACCTCTTCAGTGATTCCAAGAGGACAGTGCGAAGGTGATGTCATAACCACACCTGGAAAAGATACTAAACAATAGCAGCCACCCGGGCCCTGGAGGAGGTGGGGAGGGAGAGAAAAGGAGGTGACAGTGGGATTTGTGTGGGGTGTTAGACTCCACAGAGACCATCCACCAGAGTCACTGCTTCCGGTCCTCAGGACACCCTGGTGAGTCCCGACACTCTTAGGCGGCACAGCCTGCTGAGGTCCCAGGGGTTACGGCTCCTGCGCAGGCCACACGGCTACTGAGTTTTCCTGCTGGACCATGAGCCCAAAGGTCCTTCCTCCATACCCCACGTTCTTTTCATTTCACTAAGGAAAATGTAAAGTCACCATAATCAGAAGAGGGGACTAAGGAGGGCAGGAAACAATTAAACCTTATAATGTCTTTTCCTTGAATGATACTCTACTAATTATATTTGGAATTCACAAGGCGTTTCCTTCCCACCAGCTCAGAGTACATGTCCATGTGTAACTCGATCGCCTCCACCATCTCCCCACAGAGCCTGTGGAGTCCCAGGCAGGAGGGGAGTGGGCTCCTGCCCAGGGCGCAGTGTGAACATGCAGACCCGGGCCTGCTAGGGCTGGGCGGTGGGCAGGTCTCTGGAGTATCTCCCCGGCCATTCCCACTGGCTTCGTGGAACACTCTCTAGCACAGTGGCTCCGTAACTGTGGAACCCTGCTTAACTTTTGTTTGGTGGTTTCTTCATTTTTTTTAAATCTTTTTTCTTATTAGTCCTCCAAGACTACTCTTAACCAATAGAGGTATCACAGGGCACTTCCTCTGCCAAAGACTGCTCCGTGTTACCTTTTTTTATCTGTGTTATTGTGAGCTTGTGCAATGCAAGTGGCTTTTATTATAATTATGAAATAGCTGCTGAGAAAGCCCGCTTGGTGGAGGCTGCTTCTTCAGGATGAATCTTTTCATGGCTGTGTCCCCACGTGTGAGATGAAGCCTGTGCTCAGACCGTGTGCCCAGGCCCGCCAGCTCAGAATGCCCTTGGGGGTTTGTTCCAACACAGATCATGAGCCAGGCTCATTTCATTCTGCCTTGTAAGTTTCAAGTGCACTGAAGAGGCCAACATGAATTAGGGCAGAGAGGCAGGGCAGCCTCTGATGCCGGCTCCATTGCTGCCACTGTCGGGGGATCCCAGAGGTTTTCCTAGAATGGGACACAGGGAAAGGAGACCAAAGTTCTGCCCCTTCAACATGTGGATTCCCCAGGACAGGTATCAGGAGGAGAATCGGCTCATAGGGTGATACCTGGACTGGGGTGTGCTTTCCGGGTCAGGCTTGAGTGGGTGTCTTGGGAAAATGGGTGGGAATAACAGGCTTCGAATTACATTTTGGGACCTTTCTGGTTGGCAGCACTGCCCAAAGGCGGCACTGGACACCGTAGCCGCATAGCATTTCTCCTGTTTTATACTGGCCAGGTCCACTTGGTTTGAGATAGCAGCAGGAGAAGGGGCTTCATACCTACCTTTGGCTCACTCTGCATATAGTCTAGCCATCTTTCTGGGAAGGTTTTTTTGTTTTTGTTTTTGTTTTTGAAGCGGGGTTTTGCTCTTGTCACCCAGGCTGGAGTGCAGTGGCGCCATCTCGGCTCTGCAAGCTCCGCCTCCCAGGTTCAAGCGATTCTCCTGCCTCAGCCTCGAAAGTAGCTGGAACTACAGGTGCCCACCACCACGCCCAGCTAGTTTGTGTATTTTTAGTAGAGACGGGGTTTCACCATGTTGGCCAGGCTGGTCTCCAACTCCCCACCTCAGGTGATCGGCGCGCCTCGGCCTCCCAAAGTACTGGGATTACAGGCGGGAGCCACCGGCCTCCGCCTTTCAAATGATCTCAGGTAATGGGAGGAAGCTGTGAATGTCAGGAATAAAAATGGCCCAGATAATCCGGAAACCTGGGGTTAGCCAGGAGCATCCTCGCAACCCGCCGTTCCCTCGGGGCCTTTGTGAATGTCTGCTGAATAGGAAGAGCCTGCCCACCCCCTAGCAAAGACACCAAGGAGCCGCAAAACACCAAAAAGCACAGGGAGTGCGAGGTCTGAGTGCGAGGTCTGAGTGAGGAGGCAGGTGCGGCCAGGGAACTTGCTGTGCCGGTGTCCGCCGGGCTGTAGGCTCCGAACTTGACCTTGGGTTAGTCTTTTGCACCCACTCGGGTTCTGGTTCCTTTTCCTCACCTTCATGCACCTGCATGGGCTCTGATCTCTTTTGCTCTTTTTAGCACTTGGGGAAAAATTAACCATAACCACGTTTATTTTCTTACTTGCCTCTCTACCCCGTTGCACTCCGGGGTGTGGCTCCGCAGATGGAGTCTGAAAGCCCAGCCAGCATTGCTAAGGCTGGCGCCCAGGGGTACGCCAGGAGGGGACACTTCAGTCCCGTCCGTGCCCCTCAGCAGACCTGTCTGTGGCTCCTGGAGGGAAAACGCCCCGCAAGTGAAAATGATTAACTATTGGCATGGGAATTAGAGACAGCAATTGTAAAGCTGACCTTTTTAGAATTCAACACCTTCTGGACAAATTGGCAGGTTATGTGGACTTCAGAAACGGCAGCCAATCCTGGAAGCCAGTTCTGCTGTCATCAGCCGGGTGGCATTGGTAGTTATCTGACCTACTGGAGACTTCGTTTTCCTTTTCTGTAAAATGGCAAAAATATAAGAATCAATAGGGTTATCCTGTGGGCATCAGGATAGGGCCTGAACGCAAAGCTCCATCTCTCTTAACCTAGAGTAAGTCGCCCTTCTAGGCCAATGGCTCAGAGAGGAATGAGAATGACAATGACAACTGACCAGGGAACATCAAAGTGTTTCATGATGCCTAGCCATAAAACACTTCCTCCCATTTTCTCCTCCCTGCTCTGCTAAGGCAGTTGTGGGAACATTTACCCAGATTCTTAAGAAGTAGACCCTTTAAACGCTAGGCCTGATTCCTTGATGACAGAAAATTAAGGTGGAAAGAGCTTTAGGACCTTAGATACTACACGAGACATATTGTTAAGTGGGAAAAAAGGAAGTTACAAAATAGCATGAATAATATGATACCATGTGCATAAAACTAATAATGAAAGGAGAAGAAGAGGGACTCTTTGCAAAGGAATCAGATATTTCTGGAGGAAATTGATGACTGCCTCAGAGGAAGAGACAGAGCTGTCTATCTGGGATGGTCGGACAGAGACTTCACTTTCGGTTCCTCTTGCATTTTGTGCTGTGATCTTCTATTACCTAAGCACAGTCATCATGGAAAATTTAGATTAAAAAAAAAAAAAAAGCCAGCGAACACTCCCAGACCCAGAGGAATGCTGTGGCCACAGATGCAGGTGGCAGCCCAGCTGGGAGGAGGACCCAGGCTTCCTGAGCCAGCCCGGCTGCCTCGCGAGATGGCTGGGGGGTCAGTGGAAGGCCGAGTGGCTCCGGGAGCTGAAAGGGTCCATTCTTCTCTTGTCTCTCGCCTTGTACCTCTTGGCCTGCAGTGTGCAGCGGAGTCTTCAGGAAGTTTTCAGATCCTTCCCCAGGACAGCTGTGAGAAGGAACAAAATGGACTCAGCCATTGGTGTCTTTCCAGACCCAGGCACCAGAAAGACTGGGCACTGTGTGCCCACACGGGCCCAGCCACAGCGGGTCGTCCGAGCTGTCTGTGGCCGCCCGGCGGAGACAGGAAGAAAGGCTGGGAGAGCGTCTTCAAAGACCGCATACGCCTGCCCAGGAGAGGCTGAAACCTTCTTCTTTGAACTCTTCTCCTTCCCTAATTGCTGGTCCATAGAGACCGAGCTGAAAATTAGTTTAAATGCTAAATTGAGTTTCAAACCACGAGTCTCAGCCCCTCTAGAAACAGGACACCGTGTAAAAATAGAAACTTTAAGTCAACTTGTTTTTCTAAGCTTTATACAGCTTTGCTGTGAGGTCCAGAGTCCTTTGGCAAATAAGTGATGTTTGAAGAGATTCAGGTGTGCTGGGAGGGTTCGTTCAGGATGGAATTGGCTACTCTTCATTATAAAAAAGTCAAGACAGCCTAAAGTAATCCTGAAGGAAGATGCTTTGCCTGAATCAAGTTTAGCATCAGAGCAGCCATAACCCTCTGCCGAGATTCTTCAGAACCATGCAGTTGGAGGGGTAGAAGCCAGGCTCATTCTTTCAGGGATGGAATCAAACGGTAATTAAAAGCAAATGATTGCCAGGGTCGTTAGAGATGCCAGAGCCTCAGGATCAGACTCGTAAGCAAATGGAATTGGTCTTTCTCCAAAATCCTACACTGATTTAACCACAGGATCGTAAATCAAAGGGGCTGTCTGAAAACGAAACAGCCTTCCCCAGGCCGTGCATCTGAAACACTCAACCCCAGCACACGTACAGCAGGGGAGCCACACACGGGAGGAAGAAAAGCACCGGACTTCGGGAGTACCTGAGCACTGCAGGACAACAGCATGCTGCGCTCTCTCTCTCAAATTCTTCAGGAGCCGCTAGGCTGTGAGCCAGCTTATGTTTTTGAGGTAGCTGGCCTCTCAGAGGCTTGTTAGAGGATGTGTGACCTGTGCGGCTTCCTGGTATCAGTGACACCATGGGGATGTTGAGTCAGGTGGCCTTGGGGCCTGGACTTTTCAGCCCAGCTGCAGGAGCCGGCATGGAGGGACATCTCCCCGAGCATGTGCTTGGTGTGGCTCCTGGGTAGGTGGGCGACCACGTCTCTGGTGTATAGAAGGAGCCAAGTGCTTGTGGAAGAATTCCATGCCACTTCTCTTTCTGCTGGTGTGGATTTGCAGAAGTGATGGGAGATGAAGGAGGTGGTGGACGACCAGAAGTTCAAGAAGTCGTGACCTAAGACAGTTTCAAGGACTAGTCTTACAGGAAGGAGGACCCTAGACGAAAACTGACTGCTCCTGGAGCCACGTGTTTCCTATAAGGCAGCAAATGTTGCACAATTCTATAAAAAACGGAGCTGGCAACTGGGATCCGTTGAGGGGGTCTTGACCCTGAGGGGTTGCTTTTGTGGACATTTCATCTGGGCCGAGGTGTGCAGTGTCACAATTGCTGGGCTACAAGGCTGCTGATACACACTTTTATTGCAGAAACAGCTCATTATATTTCTTGACTCCGGAGTATTTCAGCAGATAAAACAGGCATGCAAGGTTGCTTTATTTAAGGAGTTAGGGGACCAGGAAATATTTGTTGTCAGGGACAATGCAAGTGGTAAACATTTTATCCCTTAAAAGGCAAGAAAGCTCCGAGGACATGAGGAAAGCCTGCAAAAGCAGGAAATGGCCATTTGAAAAGTACGCATGAGGTCCCTACTCCAGGGAGAGTTTGCTGAGCCCCAAGGGGAGAAAGGAAGAGGATGGGCCAGCCAGGGGTGCCCAGTGGATTTACAGCAGATTTAATAAGTCTACTTTAATTATTTAAATGAATCAAAATGCATAGGAGTGGAAGAAAGAAACAAGTAAAAATAAATGAAAATTCTTTTTGGAAACCACTCTTGAAGTCTTTTCTCTTAAACAACCATCTTCTTAGGGTCCTTTTTCCCCAGCTGCTGGGTCAGCGGTCATGTGTATGTACAAGAAGGTGGAGGCAAAATCGTCTTTTTCGTGATTCTAATGTTAACTAAAACAGAAAAGGACTTTGTGAGCTCACGTCTCGGATTCTAAGCTGCCTTGGAAGCCCATTTCCAGAAGGCTAATGTTGCTCCTGAGGACCTATCAGCTGCCCCTGCTGAACTCCAGGACGCAGAAGTGTTCAGTTGAGTTTTGCTCCCCTCTGCTTCGTAGCCAACTGCAGGCCCAGGAATTAGCAACTGATTTCTCCTTTTCTCCCTCATCCTCCTGGCCCAGGCCCTTCCTGGATGGTGGTAACAGGCCCGGGGTGGCTGTGCAGCCTCCCTAAGGCTCTCTGAGTTCCCCTGGCCCCACAGAGGTGCCTGCATCCTGGCAGGGATGGCAGGATCCTGGTAGCTGCACAGGGTCTGTACACTGAGGGGGCTGCCCTCACCTGCAGGGATCAGGTGCTGGGCGGCAGGTGCCTCAGTCCATCCGGGCTGCCATAGTGAAGCAGCACGGACTGGGGACAACCACTCACTTCTCACAGTTCTGGATGTTGGAGGGCCAAGATCAAGGCACCAGCAGAATGGGAGGCTGGAATCCTGGTCAGGGCTCTCCCGGGTTGCAGACTGCTGTATCCTCCCCCTGTATCCTCATGTGGCAGCAAGACAGATGGATAACCCTCAGCCTCTTTTACAAGGGCACTAATCCCCTTCTTAAGGGCTGCACCCTCATGACCTAGTCACCCCCCACAGACCCCACCTCCTAATTTCCTCACATTGGTGGTAAGGATTTTAACATGGATTTTGAAGGGACACAAACATTCAGTGTATTGCAGTGGGATAGACAGCAAGCCTGCCTGGGCAGTCTGTGCCTAAAGCCACAGCTCTTCACCCACTTCCTTCTGAAAGTGGCATCATCATGCTATCTTTAGTTGATCAAAATGAGCCCGAGTTCACAAACTCCTAGAATCCCAGATCTGAAAAGCACCCTGAATTCCTTCCCACAAGGGAGGTGGGGGCCCATTATTTGTGATGAATGCTAGCTACTCCATTTAACTCTTTACATATCCAATGCCAGCTTTCTCTCCATTTGCCTGTTAGCCGAAAGCCCTGTGCAGTTCTCTCCTGGATGTCGTGGGAAATACGACAAAGAGAGAACACTTGGTCTTGGCCTCAAAGAACTCGTAATAGAGAACACCCGAGAAGGATGTACCTGCAGGGTTATCTACAGCAGAAATTTAATCAAATATTCGGCACATCGCAGTTACAAAGAAAGCTTTCAATGTGGGCCATTGGCCGCTGCAGGTTTCTTTGTGAGAAACATTCATGTGCTTTTTATCCCGGGGAACAAAACCCTAGGAAAGGAAGTTTCCATCATCTATTCCCATTTTTCCTCCTTCTTGAACAAAACTTTTAGCTCAAGGAACAGTGCTTTTGAAGACTTGTGTTTCATGCAGCCTGCTTCCGTAGTTGATCTGTTCACAACAAGATCACATCAAGTAAATTCTTCCATTCTGGGAAGATGGCGAAAACAAGCGGATACTGTCAGCAAATGTTGATGAACCACCTCTCCAGAAATAAATGTTGGCAGGAAACAGAGAAAGCCTGGAGTATCCCCATCAGTCATTGGCCGGAGAAGACCTTTTCCTGGGCTGGAGTCCTTGCTGGGGAAAAGTCTGTTCTTTGCAGCCTGTGAGGCAACTCTGGCCAGGAGGCAGCACTCAGCAAGTCCTAAGACCAAAGTACTATCCTGGCTCCACTTTGGGTTTGTAAAGTCATCTGACTGTTTCTCTCCAGGTGCCTTAGTTGCCTCGTCTGCCGTGGTCTCCTGGGAGGTTGTAAAGTCTAAGGAGATGCTGTACTTGAGCCCCCGAGATTCGAATACCCTGTGAACGCTAGCTTTAGTTATTTAACTTGTTACCTGCAGCTAAGCAGGAATCAGAGAGCAGAGTGGGCAGAACCCCACTCTTTGCCTAGAACATTGCTCATTTATAAAGTATAAGCTTCTTTTGCATTTTTAGAATAAGCTTAATTTTTTTCCCAGAGATTATTTGCATAGGATCTTTTTTCTCCCTTCCCCTTTCTGATGGATGCTTTTTATAGTGTGTAT